CGATTTACAACCACGTAGAGACATAACTAAAACATGGAGAGAGAGTGAGAGAATCTCACATCGAAGCTTGAAAACTTAAAGATCAAAGTAACGATTTACAATTAGGTGAAAAAATTGACTATGCATTAGGGAAAGATGATTACAACACTAAAATGAGCAAGAATCTAAGCACCAATTTACAACTAAGTGAAGAAATTGACAAAACTTAAAAAGCGAGTGATAAAATATTACCCCCAAACTTGAAAACTCGAAGATCAAAGTAACAATTTACAACCAAGTGAAGAAACGGACAATGGGTGAAAAACGATGATCACAACACAAGAATGAGTAAGAATTCAAGTAGCGATTTACAATTTCGTGAAGAAATGAACAAAACGTAGAGAGCCAAACTTGAAAACTCAAAGATTAAAGTAACGATTTATAACCGAGTGAAGAAATTGACAATGAATGAAGAACCGATGATTACAATATTAGAACGAATAAGAATCTAAGCAACGATTTACAACTAAGTTAAGAAATTAACAAAATATGAAAGGAGAATGAGATAATTTTAATCCTTAGCTTTGAAAATTCAAAGATCAAAATAGTGATTTACAACCAAGTGGAGAACTGGGCAATGAATGAGAAAAAGATAATCACAGCACGAAAGAATCAAAGTCGTTGTTTACAACCAAATAGAGAAATTGATAAAACATGGAAATATAATCTCACTCCCAAGCTTGAAAACTCAAAAGATCAAAGTAGTGATTTACAACTAAGGAAAAAAATTGACTATGCATGAGAGAAATATGATCACAATAATAGAATGAGCAAAAATTCAAACAACGATGTATGCCTAAGTAAAAAAATTGACAAAAGATGGAAAAAGAGTGCGAGAATCTTACTCCCAAGCTTAAAAACTTCAAGATCAAAGTAGTGATTTACAACCAAGTGAAGATATGGGCAATGCATAAGGAAAAAATGATCACAACATTAGAATAAGCAAGAATCCAAGACATGAGTAGAAAATTGACAAACATAGAGAGAGACTGAGAGAATCTCATTCCCAAGCTTTAAAACTCAAAGATCAAAGTAGCGATTTACAACTGAGTTGAGAAATAGAAAATACATGAGGGAAAAATTATCACAACACTAGAATGAGCAAAAATTCAAATACCGATTTACAACCAAGTGAATAAATGGTCAATGAATGAGGAAAAAATAATCACAACACTAGAATGAGCACGAATCCAAGTAACAATTTACAAACACGTGAAGAAATTAACTAAACATGGAGAGAGAGTGAGACAATCTCACTCCCAAGCTTGAAACTCGAAGATTAAAGTAATGATTTAAAAATATGTGAAGAAATGAGCAATGCATGAGGAAAACATGATCACGATATTAAAATGAACAAAATTCAAGTAGCGATTAACAACTTAGTGGAGAAATAAACAAACACGGAGGGAGAGTGAGAGAATCTCACTTCCCGGCTTAAAAAACTCAAAGATTAAAGTAACGATTTACACCGAAGTGAAGAATTTGACAATACGAGTAAGAAATTAAAAACTAAAAAAAATGTAATATTATCATAGCCAGGGTTACCTGACCAAACCTTCGCGGGCCCCCGGCCTGGCCCCCGAACGTTCGGGCGTTCGGGGTCCCGTTCGGGGGCCAAACACCTCCAGGTTTGGCCCCCGCCAAAAACATTTTCAGGGCCTAAAAATAAGTTTTTTTTTCTGAATGCGTGAGTTCTCTGTGATGTAACCTACACGCCTATAAATTTTGAAGTCATTCTGCTAAGCCAAAAAAACATTAAAAATCGTCAAAGATGGGGGCGTCAAAACGTGCTCGCCCACTCACTATTTTGTTTTTTTTTACCTTTAAACTTTTTGTTTTCACTTTATTTCGGGGCCTAAAAACTTTTATTATTTTTTGAAACGTAATGAGGTATTGATTATGTAAACTACATATCTGTAAATTTTTAGGGCATTTCTCAATGCCAAACAATGATTAAAAATCGACAAAGATGGCGGTGTCGAAACGGTGCTGGCACACTCACTCATTTTAATTCTCTTTTTATTTTTTCTTATTTTTATCATAGTGTTTATTTTCTGTATTTGATTTTGAATTCAAATTTGGTAAAGAATTTGGATGTAATGCCCAGGCAAATGTTTTTTAGCTTATTTTTCTCC